ACGTTCAGTGCTCATTGTCCTCATTGACTAAATGCAAGCTCCATTTTTTACTGCATTATATACATAAGTCTGATTGATTGAGTTTCCTTGAAAAAAAGATGATAAGTAAAGTGAGATAGGAGTCATATACAAGCTCATGAATATATTCTTTCAAAAACTCGCGAATTTATAGTACAAAAAATTGAAATAACGTTTTGTTAATGTTAACATTATCAAGTATTTCCTTTGTCATAGTTTAAAATGTAACAATTAAAATAACTTTTTATAACAGTTTATATATGTAACGATTAAATAATACAAATTACGCGTTTGTAGTAGGAGTAAAAAAATTTTTATGACGTTTTTACATCGATTTTCGTACAAAACTTATCAGTCAATGACTGAAGTTTATACACAACTTTAATTTAACAAAATGCAAGCTCAAGTTCTCTTTAAGTAATACAGTACTGAAAAAACTGACTGAATAGCTTTTAGAATAGTGTTAACGCGGTCGAGTATGACCTTAGTCATTATTCATAATGAAAAAAGATATATAACGTTTCGTATATATTAATGCATATAAAGATAATCTCTCATCTCTCACACTATTTATTAGCTATTTTCGTACCCTACTTATCAGTCACAGACTGGAGTTTGTACACGACTGATGTTTAAAAAAATGTAAACTCAAGTTCCTATTCGGAAGTGATAAAAATAAGCTTTAAGCGAATGTAAGATGAGTGAGCATGTTGAGATACAATGAATGTTAACGCGATGGCCTTAGTCAATATTTATAATGAAAAATAAAAAAATAAATAACGTTCCGTATGTCTTTATGCATGTAAAAATAGAATATAAGAGCTTCAAATTTGTTTATTGTGCGTACATCGGTCGAACTGTTTGTGTAAGAAGTATATCGCATTTTTTGTATAAGAAGTAAAGTAAATAATGCTATAAGCATAATATTTTAGTTGTAATAACCGATACTTTGAAATAAAAACACATTTGTAAGTTCGTTTTAATAAAATAAATAATTTATTATGCCTGTAAGAAAATTGTCAAATTACCTAGAGAATAAAATGTTTCATTGGATTCAACTTTTGTATTCAAGACTCAAGTAATGTGTTAATTGATACTTATCAATAATTAAACTGTAATTTGCCAGGAATGTGATTGAAACATTTTTTTTCTCCGGTAATCATCAATGTGATGAAAATAACATTTGTAATGAACGTGATTCTAATAAAACTTTTCCTATCCCTCATGTGTCTTAAAAATAAAATTGTTTTAATATCAAAACATTTTCCTATATTTTCTTTTACAGAATTCATTTTTGAGAAGGTAAGTAATTAGTATTATTTTATTCTACAATATTTAGGGCAAACTAGGGAGTGAACTAACGTTTAATATTGCTACTAGTTATTATTGCAAATGTTATTAATCGTTATTGCAAATATATTTTCAATAAAAAGATATACTCTATAAATTACATTGATTGAACGTTTAAAAAATGTTATATGGATTATCCGAAAGCACTAAATTTATATTTTTTGATATGTACATTCTTCAACTGTGCAGTTTTGCTTAAAATATAAATAGTACTTTACTCTGTACTTGGCGATATTGGGTCTCCAATCGAGACGGTCATAAGACAATACGCGAACTCGGGCATGCGCATATGGTCATTGAAATCTATAGCAACCGTAATGTCCATGGTAATGGAACGGTCGTCACAGAAACCACGTTTTTTTTTTAAAGCAGTAGTTGCTGTGCACTGTTGTGTAATCTTTGCATATCCCTGCTATAAAAGTTCCATTGAAAACCATTGAAGAATTTCTGAATGGTTTTCAATCTTCGATCTGAACACTCCAAATGACCATTGAATATGATTCCTCATCCAACAAGAAATGTCAAGATATTAAATACTATTGGTTCCAATAATATAGATTACTATTGATTCCTAATCGAGATTAATCATTATCAATAGAAAAATATACTATTAAAGTAATGGTTTTCAATAGGATTCAATGAAATTTCTCATGTATGTTACCCAATCGATTTCAATGGTAAAATTCGTGGTCAAATCGAAGATTTGAAACCATTCGAATGCGATAATCAATTTGATTGAATTGATATCAATGGTTTGTTATTGCAACATTCAAGTCTCGTATCGTTGAATAATTTTCAATAGTTTTGAATATGAAAGTCCTAACATTTCAATAATATGCAATAGAAAATATCAATCTAATTGAATGGGTATTAATGGTCTTTTATCGCAATGATGATACTGTCGTTAGACTTACTAGTGGACAATACGCTAGAATAACAAAAATTCTCGAACATGACGACGATTCATACATTGTTGTACAAACGTACAACGTATTTCCAGAATATCCATTTGAAGGAGTGACTCATATCCGAAAAATTCAAAGCGAAAACGAGATTGATCTCATCAAACCCATTGGTGAAATAGATTGCAAAATAATTTTGGTAGACGTTAGAAATGCTAGATATTTATGCAAAATGCCCAATTCATTTGAAATCCAATAATAATGTTCATGTCAATTTTTGTAATTTGTTGATGTACATAAAAAACCATTTATTTACAATTGAAAAAAAATCGAATACCCATTAAAAATTATATTCGAATATGTTTTTACTTAAAAACTATTAAAATTGATAAAAGTCTATTCAATCAAATCATATACGGAGTTTTTTCATTCATGACCTATATAAAATTATAATATCCAAAGCATAAGATACGATTCTTCAATTATAGTATCGAACAACTATTCAAATTTATAAAAAATCATTCAATTATGGAAATTTTTTCTTTCATCATCTAATGAAAAATTATAGAATAAAATTATATTTGATAAGTTTGTAGAATGAAGGATTATTCAAAACTATACAAACAACTTCTCAATAGAATACGATTGAGTTTTACTTGCATTTACCAATCATTAGATTTCATTAAAAAATATTCAATTGAAAATATTTGAAATTTTTTTGTTTGCCTTTCATAAGAAATTATAGAATACTATACCTCATTGAATGCGATTGGGTTATTTTTATATTGACCAATCATTAAGATTAAAAAAAAAACTATTAAATGAAATATTGCTAAAGTTACAGTATTGCTTTTGCTCATATTGGCATATATGGAAAACCATTCTATAAAATATTATTGACCAACCGTGTAATTGGATAAAAATTAATATCCATATAATATGATTCAATAAAATATGATTGGACAATTATTGTATCGAAAAATTATTAAAATTCATAGAAAGATATACAATAAAATATCATTGATTAATTATTTTATTGAACTGTGATTGATATTCATTCAATGCAATTGGATAGATTATCATTGAAACCATTCCTATACAAAGTATTATTCAGAAAGATTGAATTCTATTAAATTTAATGGTAAGTTTTACTATTAGTTATGCTTACCATGAAGTATTATTGAAAATCATTCAGTTTCAATCGTCATCGGAACATTGAACCATTCAGTTCATTGATTACCATTGAATATGAATGATCCCGAATAGGAATGAATGGAACTTTTTTAGCAGGGATAAGCATAATAAAATTATCGACATAGCTTTCAATTCATTCTTCTTCTGCAAAGCTGCATATTGCTGTTTTTAACAGCAGTAAAATATTACCTTAGGTAAGTTAATATAATACATTATTGGAAACAAAAATATTTAGAAGTTCTAACCTTATTCATGCACAGATATGATTTGATATTTTTGCTACTTGAAAATATACTAATATTGGTAGCATTTATAATAACATAATAAGGCATTTTTAGTTTAACATTTTAGCATGCCATGTTATATTGATGAACAGTTGAAGCAATTCCAATGTAATGACATTTCATTTGATAGAAAGTATCAGTGATCGCTTTAAAATTGTTAAAAACAATTACTCAATTACTTACTTATTCTTGGAATAATTTGACTATTTTATTACTATTTCTTACATCCATCTCATAAATATTTTGATTACATGATTGTTTAGACTATAAATTGTGTATTGATAGCGAAAAATATGGCAATGTCTTGAAATTATTTAAAAAATCTCAGATGGATAAATGTTAGCCTAACGATCACTATAATGAGCTTTTCTACTTATATCCATCTTTTGTTATTGAGAAGAGATGTTTCATTTATTGATGAATATATTTCTTTCATTTCAGGTTCCTCAAGAGAAATTGATGCACTTATATAGGCACATTCAATTTGATCTGTTACAGTATAACGACATGCATAAGATTAGCCACAAAAATACATCTAATTTAGTTTTCTTTTCATATATTACTGGACAGAAATAAAGTCATATATCGCTCATAGTGATTTGATTGGAATGTTTAATTTATGAAAATAAAAAATAGCTTATAAATTGTTAACTTACATCATATATAGTTGTCGTTATTATTATTCATAAGTGCTTTCTATTTTATTGTTTTTATTCACACCTGCTTACTTAACAAAAAAATTAATTTCTTAAGAAAGAGATGCTTGAAAGAAATTGCAATATTCAAATATTGCTTTCTAGATAGACTTTTGAACATAATAGAAAATTTATGTAAGAATAACCAGAAGAAAGTATACTGACTGTTTGAAAGAAATTTTGAAAAACAAAGATTAAGAAAAAAACGAAACTGGATAATGAAATAAAGAAACAAAGAACACAGAAAAACGAAAATTGATTGAAAAAATAAAAAAGATAACGAACTTCAAGTAAAACCAAACCAAATTTGATAGTAGAATATGCACTAAGCCAAAAAAGTACATTTGTACTTGGCGTGTATTTGTACTATATCATTCTACTTTTCGGAACAGATTTTAACTGTTTTTTATTTTATACGAGAGAGACATTGAATATACTATTATTTTAATAACATCGAATACCTTATTATTTATATTTTGATTATTAAACAGTAAAATATTTATTTACCATTATTATCGTATTTTACTTTGTACATTCAAATTCATTTTTTTTTTATAATGGGGAGAACAAAAAAAAAACGCACTCCAGAGGAAGAAGAAGTGTATCAAGCTCAAAGACGTTTGAGAAATGCTGAATGTCAGAGAATTAGGCGTCAAGTTGCGCGTAATCTTATAAATGATGAACGTAGAAATTCTACAATTGCACAAGATTATTTAGGAAAAATGAATGTTTTATGTAAGCATTGTAAAGCAAAACATTTTGAATCGGAAAAAGTTGATAAAAAAGGCTTATCTTTCAATGATTGTTGTTCCCATGGAGCAGTAGTTCTAGATGCTGCCCCTGACTTTCCTCAAGAATTATCATCTTTGTTTGATGGAACTCATGCAAATTCAAATGATTTTTTTGATAACATTCGTTATTATAATAATTCGCTTTCGTTTGCTTCTTTTAATGCCAATTTAGTTGACTTTCAACAGCGCCGTCCAGGGCCATATTGTTTCAAAATTCATGGGCAGATATATTATCAAATCAATACAGCACTATATCCCTGCCTGAATGAAAGTCCTGCTTATGGACAGCTCTTTTTTGTTGATCAAGAAGAGGCTCTTCATGTACGATTATCACAAAACCCGCATCTTAGACAAGAAACACTTACGACGTTAGACAGAATAATAAGAGAGAACAATATATTTGCACAGTCATACGCAATGATGAAACAAGAAATAAATGAGCAGAGATCTCGAATGAATGTCGAAGAGGAACTTGAATTGCAATTATTATTTACCTTGAAACCAGGAAATGATAGACGACGATTTAATTTTCAAAGAACAAACGAGGTTGCTGCTATTTTTTCAACGACAGCTGATGGTGAAATTCCAGAGTCGTATGTCACTATTAGAAACAAAAATACAAAGGTATTGCAATATGTTAGTACTATGGATCCTAACGTGGAGCCATGGATATATCCTTTGTTTTATCCTTATGGTTCACGAGGATGGCATAGAAATTTAGAACGTATCAAGGTAAATGATAATGATTCAAGTAGACGAGTAACGTGAATGGCCTATACTAAATATAAAATGGCTATAAGGCAGGATGAATTTAATTCCATTTTACTAGGTCGTCGATTGTTTCAACAATGGGTTGTAGATTCATATGTTAAAATCGAAAAAGATAGAATTCAATGGTGTAAAGATCATCAAAGAGAGTTAAAAGCAGATACATACCAAGGATTACATGATTATTTGCAAAATTCTGCAAATGACATTAATGGTGAAGTAGGGAAAACAGTTATTTTACCATCGACTTTTTTGGGTTCACCACGTCACATGCAACAAAGTTATCAAGATGCCATGTCTTTAGTTGGTAAAACTGGGAAACCGGATATTTTTCTTACGATAACTTGCAACCCAAGGTGGAAAGAGATTCAAGAAAACCTTTTACCAGGCCAACAGGCATCTGATCGACCAGATATTGTTGCTCGTGTATTTCATTTGAAAAAAAATCGATTACTCGACGTTGTTATAAAAAAAAATGTTTTTGGAGAAGTAGAATCGTACGTATATGTTATAGAATTTCAAAAACGTGGGCTACCTCATATGCATTTATTAATTACCTTAAAATATGCTCATAAAATAACCACACCTGATTTGATTAACAAATTTATATCCGCTGAATTACCTGATAAAGATATTGATCCTGATTTATTGAATATCGTTGTAAAAAATATGACGCATGGACCTTGCGGTGATTGGTGTATGGTAAATAACAAATGTTCAAAAAAATTCCCAAAAGAATTTCAAAATGAAACAATTATGGATGAAACTGGATATCCTCATTATCAAAGAAGAGATGATGGTGTTTCACATGAACAACCTAATGGCCATATTATTGATAATCGATGGGTTGTACCACATTGCCGTAACTTATTAAAAATGTTTGATTGTCATATGAATGTGGAAATTGTTTCAAGTGTTCGAGCTGTAAAATATTTATATAAATACATTTATAAAGGACATGACGCAGCTACTGTCGTTATTGGGACCGAAAATACATCTAAAGATGTTATCAACCATGATAAAGTTTCTAATTTCATAGAAACTCGGTATGTTGGACCCGTTGAAGCATGCTATCGAATTTTGAGTAAAAGTCTACAAGACAAAAGTCATACTATAGAGCGATTACCAGTTCATTTACAAAATCAACAGTGCGTTATCATTTCTACTGATGCAAACAATTCTGTAAACAATCTCAATGAAGTAAGTAGTAAACTGCTTAATTATTTCAAGTTGAATATTGAAAATGAAAATGCACGGCAATATCTGTACAGTGATATTCCAAGGTTTTTTACGTATAAAAAAGAAAAAACAAATGGCATCAAAGTAACCAAATGGGTAGCACGTAAATCGCATTTCAACTGTTTTGGAAGGATGTTTTCGATCAGTCCTACACGAATCGAGTTATTCCACTTGCGATTACTACTATTGCATGTACGAGGAGCTACAAGCTTCGATTCATTAAAAACAGTTAACGACATATTACAACCTTCATTCATAGCAGCATGTCTTGAATTGGGATTAATAGAAGATGACCAAGAGTGGGCTAAAGCTCTACAAGAAGCAACATTATGGATGATGCCACGAAGACTTGGACAATTATTTGTTCGCATTTTAATACATTGTCAACCAATTCATCCAGAAAAATTATGGGATGATTTTAAAGATGCATTATCCGAAGATTTTTCAAGGACAAACAATACTGATATAAGTCATCAAATGGCATACGCTGACATAAGTAATATGTTAAATCATGAAGGTAAAAGTTTGTCTAATTTTCCTGCTATGAATCAAACAGTAATTACTCATTTATTAGTTGAAAGTTGCGATCAGTTATCACAAACACATTTGGCAGATATCGGAGAACAACAATATAATTTATTGAATGAACAACAAAAAGAAATTGTTGATGTTATTTTGGATTTAGCAACTGCTACTAATGATAAGGTGAATAATAATAATTGTTTATATATTGATGGCCCAGGAGGCTCGGGGAAAACTTTTATCTATACAACTATTTATAATTTATTATGTTCAAAAAATATTAAAGTTACTTCAATGGCTTTTACAGGGATTGCTGCAATTTTGCTTCCAAAAGGAAAAACAGTGCATAAAACATTTGGCCTTCCAGTTCCTATGTATAGCGATTCATCTTCAAGCATTACGGCGCAATCTAAAGAAGGTCTTTTGTTAAAAGAAACAAGAGTTTTCATTTGGGATGAAGCTCCAATGGCTCCAAGATATGCACTGGAAATAGTTAACAGAACGCTTAAAGATGTTATGAACAATGATTTACCTTTCGGTGGTAAAGTTATGGTTTTAGGTGGTGATTTTCGACAGCTTTTACCAATTAGACTTCATGGAACAAGAAGTGAAACATTGAATCTTTCAATAAAATACAGTGAATTATGGAGGCACTTCATCAAATATAATCTTACAACGAATATGAGAGTTTTACCTCACGAAGTTGATTTTGCAAAATTTTTAATATTAGTTGGCGATGGAACATTAAATGACCAACACGATAATTTGACGTTGCCTGATCATTGCATTCTCGATATCAATAATGATGTTGTTCAGACTGTATTTGGTAAACTAATCTTAGAAAAGAAATTTGATAACATGAGTAAATGTGCTATTCTAGCTCCAAGAAATGCTGATGTCGATGAGATAAATAAATTAACTACTAATTTGCTAGATATCAGCACGGAACACATTTACACAGCAATCGACAGTACTGATGGATGTGATAATGGGAAATTTGATGAAGTACTTTTACCTGAATATTTAAATTCCTTAAACCCTTCCAGTTTACCTCCATATGAATTACGATTAAGAAAAAATTGTATCGTTACGCTTATTAGAAATATTAGTATTCATGAAGGTTTATGTAATGGTACACGTTTACGGATATTAGATTTTTCACATCATTTGTTGAAATGTCAAGTTTTAACAGGAGATAAATCTAATGATATAATATTTTTAAATCGCATCTCATTGTTTTGTACTAACGAGTATCCATTTTCTTTTAAAAGACGTCAATTTCCTGTTAAATTAGCATTTGCAATGACGATTAATAAAGCTCAAGGGCAAACATTTGATAATATTGCAATTGATTTACGTAGAGACGTTTTCAATCATGGACAATTGTATGTAGCAATGTCTAGGGTACGATCATGGGATACCATTAAAATTTTTCTTGGAAGCCATCGACAAAATAGTTTCAAGGTTAAAAATTATGTTTACAAAGAGCTTTACTCATAAAAAACATATTCGACTGTTAAAAATTTGTTGTATATAACATCATATAATTATTTAATAACTTTCCTAACAAAAACTATAATTACAATGTTTATTCTACAACAATATGTTATGTCATGTTACTCCAAGGAAAATCGTATGAACGTTGCAGAGGTAAAGTAGGTACCGGTACGCATTTGGAAACATATTATAATGATGAAAGGCATATAGGCAATACCCCTCCCGCGCCTCTTTTCAAAGGGTAACGTAGGCTGAGTTTTTTTACATACATCATAAGTGAACGTTCAGTTTAAGGTGGAATCCGAACCACCAATTATGTTACAAATTATATCACGTAACAACGACAGCTTGAGGCGCGCATAGCGCGCTGCGTGACTCTAGTATTACAAATGCACTACCTCGAGTGCCGACGAGAGTACAAATCACTTATTACTAATAACACGCGAAACTTAGTCTAAACGAGATGACCGGCACGTTAGCGCCATGTCACCTCGTTAACCGGCTCAAACAATCACTTAAATTACGCACTGCCGAAAACTACGCCGGCTCGGAAAAGCCTGGCGTAGCAACGCGAACCGTGAGAATCGCCGAGGAAAGGAAGAGATACAAAGAGAGAGAGGAATCGGTGACCTGACCAAATTCTGGTGGACGTCGCTGTTGCTGGCGGCCTTGAAGGTGTCCCACCGGCGGCTAGGCTGGAAAACCCCTGGCTGCTGCGTGGCCGGAGACCTGGCAGAAAAGGCTGTCGGGTTCTGCCTCGATGACGGCTTCTTGCAGGGCAACTGCTGCGTCGCTGGCAGAGGAAGTCCCGTCCAGCCGATCTGCTGGGGAATGCTGACTTCTTCCGGACAAAGGGCAGGCAGCGATGGTCAGCTCTCGTACGACTGATTGCTGTCGCGCGCGTCGCGTAACTCCCTGTCGCGAGTGCATGAGAGCCGGCTTCTCACGCCTTCTCCCACCACTCGCCTCCTAATCGGCGGCACGCGGCAATGCCGGTCGCGATAATGCCGCGCGCCAAGCCCAACTTAAACTATAGTTTTTCTCTCTCTTTCTCTCTCTCTCGCACTCAATACTCGAACGCGTCGTCGCGTCCACGGCTTCTCCTTCCACTGCTCTCGTGCGTAGCTGAAAAATAAAAGGGCAGGCATCAGGCACGTGATAATAACGTGCGCTTGATGCCGGCCGTGCGCCTTTGGCTAAGAAGGAGAGGGAGGCAAGCACACGGTGCAGGCCATGACGGGCCTACACCGTCACATTTTTTTTCAATCTTCATCAACTTTTTTCTCAAAATCTATGGTCTTTAGAAAAAAATTCATAAAAACAAAAATGTCTTAGAATCGCTCGAGGAACATTCTCAAATTTTTTCAGAATTTTTTGAGACAATTTTTGATTTTTCGGGAAACTTGGGAAATGGAATTTTCAAAAATGTCTCCAAAAATTCTGAAAAAATTTTAGGATGTTTCTCGAGTGATTCTAAGACATTTTTGCTCTCATGAATTTTTTTCTAAAGTCCATAGATTTCGAGAAAAAAATTGACAAAGTGAACATAGCGGCCGAAACGAATTTTTATTTTTTCAACTTTCGAGCCTTCTCGATGGTAAATAAACAACTCCTTTCTTTCCATGGTCTCGAATAATTTTTTCAGCATATCTTCATCTTTTTCCAATGCTAAGCTTACTCGCTTAGGTAGAAATATTTCGAATTCGTCGTCTACTGTTATAACTACACTAAATCCATAACGAGTATTAAGCCATCTTAATCTCGTTATCATGTAGGTACAGTTATTTTCTAATTGTGCCATCGTTTTTCTTGGTAAAAATGCCGATTTGGCTATTTTATTAATTGATGAAAAGTCCATTCTACAATAACAAAAAATCAATCAATAATTAATACTACTAGGATATATAGTTAGAGAGCTACTAGTATACAAGAAACTTACTTTTAAGAGAAAATCTAGAAGTTTAATAGGAGAACTAGGAAGAGAGACTACTGCTGTTGCTTCAACCTACTGCTGAAGAACTACGACGGACTGAGGTGTGTTCTCCGTTTTGTACCATGCGTCCCCTCTCAGAGAACTCGAGCCGCCGTAATTTCCCTCTCTTTTCGCCTTATCCCCACTTGAGTAATTTCTCATATGATTCCATTGCCCATACTCCTCAGACTTCAGTCGCCATGTTTGCCGTTGTCCCCCACTCTACCGTTGTCCCCACTCTCTCACTATTCTATCCTTAGTCTTTTCCTAACTGAGCCTTCTTCCTCCCCACTATTACTAATCTGTTCTGAGCGACTTCTGTCGGAGGTTGGAAGAAGCTTACAACTTTCTTGAGGATTTTCTTTCATACTACTCTGTTCTGAGCGACTTCTGTCGGAGGTTAGAGGAAGCTTACAACTTTCTTGAGGATTTTCTTCCATTTCTATGATCTTTCTTTTCCTGCGTTGTTCCGCACTCTTGATTTTAAGCTTTGACGTTTCAATAGTTTTGTAATGACCCCATGGAAGTGTATCAGGATTTTTATCGAATATACATCGTTTATCATCATATGGACTTAGTGCTACTTTCTGCACTCTTTCTGTTCTTACTTGATGTAATACACTTCGTATATTACATTGCTCACGCCTAATAATTTCTAAATCCAATAAACAGTTTCGAAAATCTTCATGATCTATTGTTTTTATGACAGTATGTGTTTTTACGCCTTTTGCTTTCTTTATTGCTTGATGGTTTTCTATTAGTATACTATACATTTTATTTCGAAGTCCAATGAATTCTCTCATAATATTACCATTGCATTCATCTTTCATAATACCGAGAACCTTTTTATTAACTAACGGCATATTAAACTGATTATTTTCTGAGTAATCTGATGTATCAAATTTATTGATATTTTCTTTCATTATTTCATATATATCAACATCTTTAAATTCATATACGAGGCTATCTGTATCAGTATAAAGTAATTTTGCTTTATGAGGTAGTCTTTCTTTTATGTAGCCGTAGTGGAAGTCATATACTAATGTTTTTGAGAGATCTAGCACACAAAGTCCAATATATATTGGTTTTTAATACTAATAGACGTCCATGATAACTGTATTGCTACTAAATTTTCATCAAAGATTGAACTACTATGAAAGTTGGGTTGTGCGATCCGTGCTTCTGCTCCATATCTACCACTCCATGCACTAATTAATTTAACGTCTTTTCGTTTCCTTTCATCCTCCATAGTCTTTCCGTATACTGCATTAATCATGAGTTTATAGAATAACTTTTCAAATTCATTTTTAGCTTGTTTTCTTTTTTCTGTATTCAAATCTACATAAGTTTTAAGCCAAGGCTTTTGATTAAACTGAAGTGCTCTGTGTATTTGTTTTATTTTGAGTCCGTATTTAATAGCCTGCTTTAGCGTTCTATAATGAATGACATACCGTTCTTTATCATACAGTGTTGTTAAAAGTTTTTTTTGTCTTGATCCAGGTGGTGTGTTGTGTTCAGGACATAGTGGAAGGTCCTTATGTTCGTCGTGTAGTTCTTTTGGATACTCTAGATCAACTTCTAAAATATATCCAACCTCATTATTATCGGAAACATTGAAAAAATGAGGCTCATCGATGTTAGAGACCCACTTAAAATTTTTATATGGTAATGATTGCGTCATCGCCCATCCATATAAATTATTAACGTCAAAGTACATCAAAGTCTTGCTAGGTTCTTTTTCATTATATTCTGAGCCCATATATCGATTATTAGCTTTTGAGTATCTATTACAGCATTGACTAATACCTCCTCGAATGCCTTTTTGGATGAATAAAACCATGTCTATATCGGTTAAAAGTTCTAGCTCAATTTTTGTACACTTTAACATAGCATCCCATGTTAATCCAGGAGTAGTATAATAGTGTGCCGGGTCGAGTTGATACGCGTCCATACACGTTTTACGAAAATTTTCAAAAATATCGGCCAAGAATAATACGTCAGTTTTTAAATATAAATCAGAATACTGTCCTAAATCAATGATGTCAAATGCATTCCACACTTTTTGAGCATGCTCATAGTCAGCTTCAGAGATGTTGCTATCTATCAATTGACTATGAAAATCTTCGATAGGTGGTAATTGAGTCTGTTTTAATCTTTCAAAACTGTTAACATACTCATATGGAAAAACGCCTTTTCTCTTCAATAATTCTATTTGTGTTTTTGTATATTTATCTATCTTGAATTCATGCTCTACGATATTTAGTTTGGTTAAGTATGAAGACAGTTTTTCGAGAGATGATGGCATAAAACGAAACGAATCAATAAATCGAAAATTTATAGTACTACCGTCCACGTGTTTTGTGAAAGCTATATATCTTTCCTTGTTTTCAGCTAAAACAGTCACATTTCCCTCAAGATCAGAGCTAGTAGCTATTTCTTTTATTATAAAATGAGAATCATATCCAGTAAGGTTATGGAAGACAACTGGTATAAAATAAGGATTCTTATAATTTAAATTACAGGATGCGTGAGCAGCGCCTCTAAATCGACCCGTCAAATGACAATGATCTCTAACTCTTGTTTCATCAGGTTGAAAATATTTTCTACAAATATGACACATTTTGCTCATCTTGAAATCCATTTGATTACGCCATGAAAGATTCATTTCTATTGCATTCTTATATATTTGATTCATTTCATGTAACAAAATCTGAAATTGTTTGATAATCCATTGTGCGGGTGATTGTTCTTCATTCAGTTTTTTTCTATACATCTTAAAGACTGATTTGGAATCATCATAACTACATTTTATATAAAGCCCCACACTAAAGGCTTCATGATCTTGGAAGGATCGTCCGTTATTTACTGGTTTCAATAAGCACTCTAAATCAGCATAGATAATAAACGGAAACATTTCTTTTCGATCATAATGAATAAATTTCAGAAGAGGAAAATTAGGTAGATTAACTCTATATTTATTTAATTTTGAACAATCTGTTTCATGAATATTCAATTTTTCTTTATTATTAAA